CAAAGGTGTGCAAGAGATCTCTGCTGCTTCCCTCTGTGGGTACTAAGTGCCTCAGCCCTTCACAAGTCTTGTGCCTGTCCTTCAACAGTGGTGTAGGCTCAGCCAAGCCTGCATCCTGTCAGGTGGATGATGCCCAGCACCTCAGGTCTCACACTCTCAAAAGCACTCATGGGCTTCCCTTCCAGTGGAATACAAAGGGGAGCAATGACAAAACATCCATCAAAGTCAGGCCCAGCACACACGGTTACACAGCAGCACAGTCTCAGATCTGGCAGCTGTCAGGAGCCAGCGATGCAGCGGCTGGGATCCAGAGGAGACGAGATATGTTTGACTTGGCCAGTATATGACACCACATCCTGATTTCTCTGGTTTTATTTCAATGTTATATACATGTTTAATCCTCTGTGCACGTTTTTGGGGTCACCCAAGCATCCCTCAGTTTCAGCAGAGAGGGGAATGTCTGGTTGCTGAAACAATCCCGACATCTGGTGCCAGTCGTGAACGTGCTGTGACAGTCAGGGTGCCTCCCATGACCTCACAGTGTGTATGCAGAGGCAGAGGGTGGGCAGAAAATGAGGAAAAGTGCTCAATATTTCCATCCACAGCATTATGGATCTGACTTTCTCTCACAGCCGAACAAAGCATCGATTTATAGAATAACCACTGGGCTGTGCTGAGAGTGCACTAGATTTTTTTGAGGTACCTTCCAGTGGAAGCCGTGTGCTACCTCAGCAGGTCACCTCTGCAAGGGACTGTGGCAGGAGCCTCTCCGCATGGCAAGTGCCGGAGGAGAGCCAGCACAGCCCAGGGACGGGAGGGAAGTACCTGTCCCAAAAACCTCTACGTTTTCTCCTTATCCAGCCCCCAGGGCAGAATCACCGCTGGGAGCTGCTGCCAGGAGCATTTTGGGATGCCGGCGCATCCCGGGAGCCCCGTGTCGCTCGGCGCTGTCCCCCGCCCGCGCAGAGGTTCAAGTGCCATCTAGTGGCACTGGGGCCCGAGGGACACACGGGCATCCAGCCCCCGCAGCGAGCCCTGCCCTGCCCACGGCACGCCGCTTCTCCACAGAGACCCTCCCTCTGCCACCGCCCCACAGCCCCTCTGCCACCGCCCCACAGCCCCTCTGCCACCGCCCCACAGCCCCTGTGCCACCGCCCCACAGCCCCTCTGCCACTGCCCCACAGCCCCTCTGCCACTGCCCCACAGCCCCTGTGCCACCGCCCCACAGCCCCTGTGCCACCGCCCCATAGCCCCTCTGCCACCGCCCCACAAACCCCTTTCCCCACCTTTGTGTCGCCTCCTCCCCGATCTCCACCTCCCTTTTTTCCCCCCATTGTCTCACATCCTCCCTTTCCCGTACATCCTCCCTTTCCTCCACGCCGGATCTGGGCTCCCTGGGGCTGTCACGTCGAGCAGCAGGCTCCAAGGGCAGGCACTGCAAAGCCACTGAAGGATTCATCTCCTGCCAGGCTCACAAAGCAGGGAAATGGCTTTGGTGTGGGACTGTCTGCCCTGTTCACTCTCCTGAGTGTCTCTGTTGTCACCGCCATGCCCTGTCCCCGCTGTGACATCCCCAAGGTGCCTCCCCAGCACTGGAGCTGCACAGGAGCTGCAGCAGAGGTGCTGCAGGCCCCCAGCAGCTCCCCAAGGGTGGCTTCGGTGGGACCTTGTCAGTGGCAGGAGCCACGAGGGGGCTCCAGGAGCCCATCAGAGATGGGGAAAACCGCCAGGAGCAGAGCCTGCATCTCCTGCAGGACTGAGGAAAGATGTTAGGAGCAGAGCTCACATTTCCTGGAGAATGAGTCTTCTCCAGCATCACAGGTGAAAGAGAGCAGAGGAGACACCACAGCTCAGACCAGGAGCAGGATCTGCCAGCACTTTTGTCCCTGTCATGACAAGCAGCAGTGCACAGGGTGCAGTGTGCCCTGAGACAGACTGGTGTGGGCTGTGCTGGCCTGACCCAGGGAGCAGCAGGGTCACAGACATTTGCAAGATATTGGTTTTCAGTGTATGACCATTTTTACCAGCCATGATTCACCCCACAGTTGCATTCCTGTGGGTCCACACTTATCCCTCATATCTGTTTTATCCCTGTCTAATTCCACTCAGTGCTGGAGTATTATTTCAAGGAGGTGAATTTGTCCCCAGCATTAAAGAGATGTTTTGAACAACTCTGCTGAGCTCAGTCCTTGATGAGCATCATGGACCTGCAGAAGTAATTCCAGAAATGATCTCTCCAAGAATGGGAGACATCGGTGAGAAAGCAGGTCCAAGCCTGTTTGCTGACCTGTCCCAGTCTAACTCCATTGTTCCACCAGCGCCTGGGGAACAAAACACTCCTTCCTAAAAACTCAGCACGCCCACTCCAGTCACTGCATGATGAGACCTCAGGTAACATTTTTGCAAGTGCCCCAGTAAGGTGGGACATGGCCCCACAGCCCTGGCATCAGTGGTAGCTGTGAGCCAGCTGGATGTGTCAGGTAACAGCACACACGAGACCTTGCCTGGACAGGACCAGATCCTCCTCTGGTGATCTTTTTTGCCTTTACCCTTCATGGACACTTCACACAGCCGTGTCAGTGGCCAGGCCTGGCTATGATGAGCGCTCTTCTCTATCAGATGGGAATAACACTGGAGAAGGCATTGCAGCCAGAACAGCTTCTGCACCACCTTCCCTTTGCAGGTCCTCATCTGCCTCCCCACCAGCAGACATGGCAGCACAGGGTTTACCTTGCTACAGAGGGCAATCAGGGCTGACCTGCTGCAACCCAGGGAGGCAGTGCAATTAGCCAGCCCAGGTCATTAGGGCTCCAACAGGACTCATTTGGAGATCAGAGTCCCTTCCTAGAGGATTCAGCAATGTAGGCATTGGGGCTGGAGTTTGGAGCAGAGGGCAGTGGGGATGCAGGAGGCTGCAGGTAATATTAAGCACTTGGCAGAATTGAAGTTGTGGCCATGCAGCCACTGCCCCTCAACTTTCTTTAGGAGCCCACAATGTCTCAGGTAAGATTTGGCATGGAAAAAGCTGAGTCCTGAGCTGGTCAGCATGAGCTTTCAGGGAGATGTGATTCTGCACACCAAGGGGGTTGCGGGGTGGGGACAAGACTGGACCAAGGAAAACCCGTAGGATTCAGCAGCCAAGCAGGGAAGTCAGCTCAGAGGACTGCTGATGGGATCTGCAGCGTGCTGCCCCTTGGGCATCCTCTCCTGCCTTCCAGAGCCTACACAGTCAGCATGGATGCTCTCAGCCCATGCTGCATCCACCAGCATGGTCCAAAAACCTGCAGAGCTTCTGTTACCACTTTACACTTCCCAGTCCAGCCTTGAAGTGTAAACACTGACTTTGACCCAAGGTGATCTGTCTTGAAAAAAGTATCAGCGGGCAAGGAAAATCTCACTTCAGAATTAATATTGTGCCTGAATTAGAGAAGCCATTCCGAAAAGCTATAGAAGACTGTCGTGATGGAAAAATTAATGCATAAAGGACCCACCCTACAGGGAAGAGGCAGGGAAAAAATAGATCACAGTATATTCAGGCCTCAGACAGGACCACACTTGCCTGCAAAAATAAATCCTTGCATTTGACACATTGCTTACATATTAATTAGTTTGATCATCTTGCCTGGGTGTGTTAGCATGAGTGAGAGCTTGTGTCTGTTTAGTGATAAGCTGTTAAAACTTCCCAAATAGAGCTAGAAATTATGGCAGACTGAGATCTTCCCTGTACTCAAGACCTTTCTCCTGTTTTTCTAGTGCTTTTCCACCCATATTTTTCTATTTTCTTTCACTGTGTCTCTTAGGTACCATTTCTTTCCCAGTGCAGAATCAGAGACTCACAGGAACGAGAGAAGCAGCTTCTGCACGGGAAACCAAGGAACCATAACCCCACAAAATACAAAGACAAGAAATGGAAAAAGAAAATTTTACTTTTTTCACTCTATCCCCTTCCCTTCCAGCTTCTCTAGGATTGCTGGAGGGGCAAAGCCTGTGCAGAGGCTGGAGGTACCATCGCCCCTTTAACGCCAGCGCCACAGCCTGACATCAGCGAGCTGTGGAGCCCGGGAGGGCTGGGAGCTGCTGCTCCAGGAGTGGTGCCAACACATCCCTGCTTCCCTGCCTTTCCCAGCTCTTGTTTTTGTGTGCCTTTCAACATGCCGCACGGGTATCCGTGCCTGCCAGTGGATATCTGCGGGGTTTACATTAACCAGCTCAAGCTGAAGTTGGTAAACAGCTATTAAAGTTTTGCTCCTCAAGTGTCCAAGGAGATTTCTGAATGAGGGAGTCGCTTGCATCCTTTGACGTCCTACTTGCTATTCCCTTATCTGCAGCCCAGATAGATCTTCTTCCCACTTAGCTATGCAGACAGGGGAGTTTGGGTTGGTTTGTGCCTGGCACAGGGAGGGGAGATCAATCTCCCGTGGCTTAGCGGGGAGTGTTCATGTTTTTACCTGTTTCCTTAACAGGAGGGAGTCAGGCTCAAAACACTGAAACTTTAGTGCTTAAAGTTTTCACTCCTGAGCAGAGTCCACTTCTAAAGCTGCTCTTTTGCCCTGGGGCAAAATACTGAATCTGGCAATTCCTCAGTTATACAGGAGGATGCAAATTAGGGCTTGATTTTATTCAGACTGTCACAGCTCCAAAGTTTATTGGAAGACAGATCCCCATCCCAAACGCTGATCGGCACTAAGCAGAGATGGTGAAAGCAATTCCCGAGCGCCGATCCCAGCGGCAGCACCACCATAAAGCTATTTATCCCCGCGCAGGTTTTTTTGGTGGCTTTGTTTTTTTGTGTTTTTTTTGTTGTTTTTTTTTTTTTTATTCACACATTCTTGCCTTCTGTTTTTGCTGGAGCCTCAGACCCTATTGAGAGGCAAATTTTAGCCATCTGGCAAAGCAGGCTGTGAGGGGGAAGAAAAAAAGAGAGAGAGAAAACACAATGTGCATGGGCACACACACATACACAAAACTCTGGAGATTAGGGAAGACAAAAACTCCGCTGAATGCTGGAGCGCAGGGCAGCCCCGCGGCGGAGAGGAGGGAGAGGCGGGCGGGGAGGAGGGCTCGGGTGCGGGCAGGTCTGCCTGCCTGCCTGGATGTGGGGAACGGCTGCAGGCACGGGAAGGCGTGACCTGCATGGAAAATGCCAGACAGCTCCAGACGCACACACACATAGGCGCACACACGCTCGCAAATCTCCGGACAGAGATAAGGCGGACAGCGGAGCGCTGGGAAAGAGGCAAAGCCTTCCCCCGCAAGCGAGCCATCGATCCTGCGCACCAAACCCGCCGGGAAACGCTGCCGGCAGCACAATGAGGTGAGTACCCCCGCCAGGGCTGGCCCCCGCGCTCCGCGGGGCCGGGCACGGCCGGGCACGGGGTCGTCCTGCTCTGGAAGGCTTCTCGGTGATGAGCGCGGTTCCAGTTCCCCTATCCCCGAGCGAGCACGGCGATGCTTCGTGCCGCAGCCCAGCTTGCACGCCGGCATCCCGGCAAAGCCGAAGGGACATCCCGGCAAAGGCGAAGGGACATCCCGGCAAAGCCGAAGGGACATCCCGGCTCTGCCGTGCCGAGGGGAAGAGCTACGAGCGAGGTGGGACCTGCTGCGCGGGCTTCAGGTTTCTGTGCACACCACGGTCATCTGTCACCTTGACATGAGGTTAAGGCTTTGCTGTCACGAGGAAGAAGTTTGATGCTGTTGTGCCTCCCCTGCTTCGGGGAAAGCAGCGGCGCGCAAGCAAACAGCCTGTTGAAATGGAGGAGGTGATGCCCATTGCACCAGCTCAGCATCCAGCCCCGTGCATGTCCTCTGACCAGAAGAGTAACAGTTTTTCCCTTCACACATTTTTGTGGTTTCAGAACAGCTGTCAGAAAAGGGCATGTTCAACCTCATTCTGCTTGAAAGAAAAATCAATCCAAATTTCTCAGCTCCCATTTACTTTTCTTTGTAAAGAAGAGCTGAGAAAAGTGATGGCAGTACACAAATGAACCCCAGAAATGTACTGTCCTGGCTTTGAAAGAACACAGACAGGTTAAAAATAATCCACTAATGCAGCTTCAATTTCCTCACCAGCATACCTAAATCAAGCCCTGATTTTGAAACCAGGTGTACATGTGAGTAGTTCCAATGTCTGTTGTACACACCTACAAGCCTTTGCCAGGCCTTAGTGCCTATTTTAGAAATTTTAATGTCTAATGGCTCTTATTTCCTGCATGTTTCTTTTCCTTTGTATGCTCCACTATGTGTAAAGAGCCTGAGGTCTGCTCCTCTTTCTGGGTCCTATGCAATAGCACAGGCTTTTGTGTTCACACCTCCAGCACGGGTGGTGTTCTCTCCTTGTGCAGAGGAATACTCAGCTCATGCTCCCTTTCATGTCAAACAAAGCTCGAGGCTGGTGTGAAGACAGCTGGACCACCACAGATTTACCTGTTCTCTCTGCCCTCCTCTGGGATAAATAAGTTGGTAACAAGTTGGGACAAACTCTCCTTCAGACTGAGATTTTTTAAAAGATGGGTTTGATGACAAAACATCTTTATGAATCTCAGCCTCTGTGTGGAGAAGAGAAGAGAAGAGAAGAGAAGAGAAGAGAAGAGAGAAGAGTAACATGCAGGGTTGCAAAGCTGAGGCCTGGTTCCATCTTTGCCCAGCTGCAAAGACGTGTGCTATTTACTGAGAGTTAATGATCCCAATTTGGCAGGATGAGTCTCAGCAGTAATAGTGATAATAATAATAATAATGATACTTAGCAGTTATTGCCATGATGCTTTCACTAAATCGATTTAGAAAGCATCATTATTTTATTAAGCATGCTTATGTTTATTCTTCCATTAAATGAAGATTTGCCCACCAGCATTCCATCAGTTCACGGATGTGTTGCCAATAGCTGCTGCTCCCAGAAGCATGGGAAACACCGAGCTCCTGATGGCACTTCAGGCTGGCTGGGAGCTGTGGAGGTGCCTTTGCATCACTTGCAGCACCTGTGGCACCCACCTTTCAAACGATCTTTCCCCTCATGGGAGCCACATGCAGATCCTACCTGCACCTCCCAGGGGGTGCTTGTGGTGCCATGGTGCTGCACCTCCTCTTGCATGATCCGCCTGGGAAAAGAGATGAGCCTTCCACAGCTATTGTCACTGCCAGAGTTTCATTTCATCCCCTCACATGTGTGTTCCAGGTACCCCCTGGCCTGGCCCTTCTGTGCCTTGCTGCTCTGCGTGGCAGATGCCGTGGAGCTGACAGACATGTTCGGGGAGATCCAGTCTCCCAACTTCCCCGACTCCTATCCCAGTGATTCAGAAATGACGTGGAACATCTCTGTGCCTGATGGATTTAAAATCAAGCTGTACTTCATGCATTTTGACTTGGAGTCATCCTACCTCTGTGAATATGATTATGTGAAGGTGAGCTGTGACATCTCAGGGCAGATGGTGGGATAGACAGCAGACTGCTTGGCCAGGTGGGAAAGGGTAGTGCTGGAAAAGCTGGGAACAAGACAGATTTCCCCATTTTATTGGGCTCAGGAGATGTCAGTCCAGTGGACCACAGGGAGAACACAGGTAAGCTGGCAGCATCCACTGGACCAACAGTGAGTGGGACACCAGAGTCAGAGCTTACCCAGGGACAAACAAATTTCTGAAAGGATTTGGGCACCTAATTTTTACTGCACCAAGTGGGATTTTCACACCTATGGGCTGATAAAACACCTGTGGCTAAACACCAGTTTGTGCCACTCTGATGCCAGCAAGGAGGACTCCTGAGCTGGGGACACTTTGTCAGGCCATGGCTGTGGGTGCCTCCTGCAGCCAGCCTGGATCCTTGGCCACGCCTTGCAGGCTCTTGGGACACCCTGTCCAGCCCCACGGGAAGCAAAAATGAAAGGTCAGACCTGAGCTTGAGGCTGCTATGGAGGTTTCCAGGGAGCTGTCATGGCCAAAACCTGCAAATATTTCAGTCTGCTTATCTGGGTGATAATCCACTTGAAACTGTGGTGGCCACACACTGCAGTGCCCCAGAGCAAGCTTGCCTTTACACCACAGGTTCTCCAAGCAGGGTTCTCCTTCACATCCAGGACAAGGGTGGCTCTCCGTATCTCTGAAAATGTTCAAGTGTGGTGCTTCTGGCAGATCAGCAGTAGCAAGTGGGTGCTGTGGAGGCTGCCTGGCTGAACACACATCATCACCCAGGACAAGCTCCACCCTGCTCCTTCACACAGAGGCAGGTGGAGCTTGCTCCCAGGTCTGGAACCACACAACTTTGCCCTGGTGCTAGTTGTCAGATAATTGAAATTATTGTTTTATTCTTGCCCTAAGAAAACAAAGCAAACATTTGTGTGTTTTTTCCTCTAGGATCTGTTGCTCCTTGCTTTAATTTCCCCTTTGTGCTGGCGCTCACCCTGCTACTAACAGCTCTCATTGAGGTTTGATTAGCTCTTTCTGCTTCTCCTGGATCTTCTCCAAGCGCAAGGGCCCAGGGACATATATAGAGATATATTGTTTTAAAACCTCAGTAAGCTCAAGGAACAGATTTCTTGGAAACTTTCCCCATTCCAAGCCTTACCCCTCCTCCTGCCCTTCACCCCCTGCACTTTTTTCCTTTTTCATAAGGCTCCTGTTATTTGGCCATGGTGCCAAGTTGGCACCACAGCTCTCCCTGCCGCTGGATTTCCATAAGAAGGAGGTATTTTTCACAGGGATTTCAATCTCAGCTGTATAAATTTCCTCGGGGCTGTAACTCAGCTTGTGGAGCCTCCACCACAGAATTACATTTGGAAAGTAGTGAAAATGGATGGATTACAGGAGATCCAGAGGTTACTCTGCTGGGTAAGGGTGCAATCTCGATGCTACTAAACCACTGGCTTAGAAAACATTAAGGAGAGCAATGAATGACTCTGTGGCTGTTTTTCTCCTTGGGTTTGTGTGTCCAGCTCTTCTCCACCAATGCAAGTTGTAAAAACAGCATCAATCAGCCCCCTCTTTGACAGAGGCCACAGTGCATAGCTATAGAATATAACTATAGATCTAGCACATACACGTGCTTCTCTGTAATATTCTGCTGGTGACAGTGAGGAAGCTCAGAAACACAGGCAGAGCTCTGTGTTCCATGATGCTCAATGGATTCCCCATCTGTGAACTTGTACCACTGCTTTCTGAGCTCATGGGTAACTTTAATCTCTGCAGCACCACATGCCAGAGAGTTGGACAGGTTAAATATATCATTATGTGCCTCTGTGTGTGTGAAGAAACACCTTCTTGTTTGTTCAGGGTCTTCATCACCTTGACTGATATAAGAAGGGGGTTTAAAAGGGACTGAGCAGGTGGGGACTCAGTTCAGGACAGGTAAAAAGCCACTGTGCCCTGGGCTTTTCTTCTCTCACTCCCTGGCTGCCCACACACCCAAGCTCTTAAGCAGTGTAGAAGCTCATCCCAAGTGGCACCTCAGGGTGATCTGAGCTGTAAACCCACACAGACCTCTGCCTTCGGGGTGGTCTGCAGAAGGGAACAGTTTCCAGAGCTCTGAAACAATGGCTAATTAAAACAATAGCTGTTTATTTATATATATGCGCATGCACGCGTGCTCGTTTGTATAAAAAATGAATGTGGCTCCTAAAGAAATGCTCACAGCATGGGAGGCTTGTTTGTGCAAATGGGCATGGCAGAGAAGGGGACTTGCACTTGTAAGCAAGTGAGCCGGGAGGAATGGGAGGAACAGCCATCCCCAAAATACCTGGAGAAGCCCCCCATGCAGGTAGAAAACTCCAGTCACATGCTGGAGAGCCAAACTCCGGGCCTTAGCACACTGGATACAGCCTCTCCTCAAGTTTTGGGTGGCTGCTGTCAGCCCCCTGCCAGGTGCATGTGGACAGGGATGGAGCAGCCACCCACCCTGGGCTGCCCTCCTCCTGCTCCTCCCTTTGCTGTGCTGCTCAGCAGGCTCTGCCCAGCTCATCACCATCCACAGGGAACCAATTTGGGAGTTCCTCATTTGCAGAGGGATTCACCATGGTTTGCAAGCCTGCAGTTCTGGCCCAGGGCACCCAAAAAGCCACAACCCTGACCAGAAAATCAGGTTAAATGACTTGAACAGTGTCACTGAGGAGCACAGTGACAGGGACATGGGCAATGAGATCCTGGCTTCTAAGGGACATCATGAGTAAATTCCCAAGCTTATTATAGAGATCTGAGCCTGGGGAGCTGTCAGTGGGGTTTTGCACATTGCTCAGTCAAGCCCTGGAATGAAATCAGCCTCCAAGAGCTTGGCAGGCAGCTCCTTGATAGGAATGAAGATGGGGGACACCCCATCAACGATTGACGAGGCACTGGTGGGGCACATGCAGGACCAGGGAACAGGCTTGGTTTTTCATTCAGGGCAGTGCATGCCCAGCCTGGCGCTGCAAGAAAGGTGCACAGGGCCCCTTTCTCTATTCAAATGAAGGAGAAAAAGCACAAATCAAGGTTTGGCATGAACTGGAGGTTCAGGAGGAGAGCATCCTCTTTTGGTCCTGTCAGCCAGCCCCAGCCAGGGGGTCATTCATTCCCTGGGAGTGCGGGGTCCCAAAAGGAGCACTTTGAACCCCAGGAGGAGCTGGGAGTAGGGAGAGCCCAGGGCTTTGCTGCTTGTCTTTGCTATCCTGATAGCTCTCTGCAGAGGTGTCTGGTGGCACTGGCCATTCCCTTGGGGACAGTGCAGGGGGAGGAGGAAGACCAGGCATGGGAGCACGTCATCAGCTCTTGCAGGAGCGCAGCATCCTGCCTGGGTCTCTTTTCACCCCCAGCCCCTCCAGGGAACAAACCTTGCACAGAAACAGGGCATGTGGGTGCAGCTGCCATGCAGGAGGGGACGGTCTCTGGAGCCAAGCCAAATCCACAGCACAGGAAACCAGCTATCCTCCTTCATCACCCATAGCAGGGCTGCCACCTTTGTTCCCGTGGAAATTCAGGGCAATTTCATGTTTGCAGCATATGAAGGGACCCTAGATATATATTGGGGAGAAGATCTCCAGGAGACTTAGATGGAGGCTTTTGCAGGGGCTGTCCCTGCTTCATTCCCAGCCGTCAGTAGCAGCAGCATTGTGGAAAAAAAGCCCCGTTGCTCTGGGTGTTGCCTTCTTGCCACGCTCTGCGGGGCCGCTCGGCGGGGGCCGCTTCATGCCCTGCCCTGGCTCTGAGCATCTCCTCCCCATGTCATGTTCCCAGTGTCTTCAGCCCAGCACTGCGATTTCTCTGCCTAATGAGCCATTTATATATATTACAAGTGGTATGTTTGGCCTTCATCAGTCCAATTAGTGCATTCCTGGAGGGCTGGAGGGGGGGCTGGTGGCGGCTGTGTTTCCGTATTGCCGACTGCCTGCTCCTCTCCAGCAGCAGACACCAAACTGCCGGGCCAAATTCCCCTCGGTGTTTCTGGCATTTCATTAACCCCCTGGCTGCAGGAGGCACCTTCGGAGCATCAGTGCTCCCAGGCATCCCCAACAGCCCATGCTCTGGGACAGCACTTTTTTCCTGCCAGCCAGGGCATCCCAGTTCCTTCACCCAAGGGGGGAATCACTGTGGGGCAGAGAAGGACCCCACAGCTTGGGACACCCATTAGCCACAGCACCAGCCAAAATGCAAAGGGATAGAGCCACAGCCAGAGAGGGACTCCAGTCTGCCTCCATCCAGAAGGGCAGAAGTCTTAATGAGGGACTGAGGATGCAAGAAAAAACAGGGAAGACAGCAGGAGGCATTGGCAATGGTAAATTTAAGGCACAAGGGTGTCGCTGTATTTTATTTTTCAAAGGAAGATTCTTTCAGCGTATTTTTATAGGGAATTTCTCTGTGGCAATTGATATTTCCCTCAGGGACACATCTTCTCTAGTGAAAACGTCGACATCGTGACCCGAGAGGGAGAAACTCCAAACAAACAACCAGGATTTAATTACCAGCCTGCTCGCTGGATGTAAATGATCTACAAAAAAGTATACAGTCCCCAGCAGAAGCAGCAAATATTAACCAGGGATGATGACCTCTCTGTTTAGTTTACTGCTGAAGGGCTGCCTCTGCTCCCTGTGGCTCAGGGCATGGGACCCGTCTCAGATAAGGGGCTGTGATACCTCCAGTGAGGAGAGCACAGCTCTCCCGGGGCCCATCCTGCTGCTCCAGAGCTGGATCCAGGGATGCTGGGGGCACTGTTGGGGCTGACCCCATGGCTGGAGCATCCTCGAGCAGAGGCACAGGGCACTGGGAAGATTTTTCCAGTGCTTTGGGAATGCTGTGCTGCAGGTCCTGCATTCCCTGGGGCTGAAGGCAAGGAATGGGAGCACACACGGTGGCTCTTGAGTCCTGGCAGAGGTGACAGCCACCAGCCCCACACAGAGCAGCTGGCTGGAAATTCCTCCTTCCCACAGATTTCCTTAAGAAAAAGCATTTTCTGTGGAAGAGGCTGTGTTCCACGTGCTGGCACAGCCAAGTCTGTGCATCAGGGCTGAAATGCCTTTTTGCTTTGCTTCTGGTGATGGCACTCCTGTTTTTCAGTCTGAAACACTATTTCATTTCAAAACAATCTTTCAGATTTAAAAGCAATTCTAAAGCACCACAGTATATTTCAAAGGGATTGAAACCAGATGGAGCCCAAATTACTTGTTTTCTTTTTTTTACCCCAGAATGCTGTTACAAAAAAAAAAAATTCAATTGGGTTTTTGTCCCCAAAGCAGGGTGCGTGGTTTTTTTTTGAAATTCCCAAAATTTATCATCGGGAAGTGTCTCTCTTTTCTGGCCAGCTCCAGCTTGTATGAGAGGATGGAAAATATCTGGAGGCAATGTCAAGGCATGCTGAGTTGCCATTTCCATGTTGGCTTTCCCTGGTGTGAATGAGTTTCCGCCTGTTTGTTCAGCTCTGGGAAATTTCCCTTTCAGCCCCAGACCCTCCCCAGCAGGCACATCCTGGGGGTCTCTCAGTGACAGGGACAGAGTCAGAGAAGGGTCTCTTTTTGCTGAGGCCAAGCAAGCCAGGGACAGCATTCCAGCACCTCCAGGACCCCATGGGCAGATGACTGTTTTCCCCAGGCATGTGCTGGGGGGCTGCGGACTTCATCACAGCCTCAATAGCGGTGGCTTGGCTCGAGGAGTGGCAGCCAAGCCCGTGGTGTTCATCACATTCCTCTGCCGAGGCTTATTCATATTCAAATCCCTGGGGGAAAGCAGGCAGGGTGCTGGGAACTGCCTGGGAGAGGTCGTGGTTGAGACAGGGCTTGGGGATGCGATGTGTAGGAGAAGGAGGTGGATCAATGCTGGAGAAAACAGCAAGGAAAAAGGAAAGGAGAGGGTTTTCAGGGAAAACTGAAGGGCTTTCTGCAGGGATTACAGTGCTTTAAGGCACAGATATGGCTGTGTTTTAAAGGGAGGCACATAGAGGCTACTGAATGTGCCGATATGACAACAGGGCACCCTGGCTCATCATTCCCCTTCCTCAGCCCTCTGGGTGCATGGTCACAGTCCCAGCAGTGCCTGGAACCACAGCTCTGGAGCCAGACAGAGAGCCTGGGTGGGAGGGACAGAGCCAAGCTTGTCCAAGGCAGCCTAAGGGACAGGAATTACAGCTGCTGCTTTGAGCTGATGCAAAACCGATAGGCAGGGACTCCTCTAGGCCCCTCACACAGATGCTTGCTGTCTGGATCAGTGTTTGAGCCATGGGAAGAGGTGAGGGGAAGCATCTCAGCTACCACCAACTCTGAGTGAGAATGACACAGCCCAGGGCTGATTTTCACATCCCTTCTGCACTGCCGCCCCATGATCTCATCCCACGTCCCAAATGGGCTCCCACCCTGCATCCTCCCCTTACACCCCCCGGCTCCTCCCCACACCCTGGATGCCACCTGCTCTTGGCATGTGCCTCAGAGGCCCCTCCAGGCAGAGCAGGCAGAGCTGAGTCCCTGTGCCCCATAGGGACACTGCTGAGTGCTGGCAGGGGACAGCCTGGGTGAGCACAGGCAGAGGTGTGAGCTCCTGGATAGAGAGGGTGATTCCAATCCCAGCCTGACTGCCCCAGGGAACACACAGCAGGTTCTCCAGGCTCACCCCTTCTTTCTGCTAACAGATTGAAACTGAAGACCAGGAGCTGGCAACCTTCTGTGGCAGGGAGACAACGGACACAGAGCAGGCTCCAGGACAGCAAGTGATCCTGTCCCCAGGGCCCTACATGGGGCTCACCTTCAGGTCTGACTTCTCCAACGAGGAACGCTTCACTGGCTTTGATGCCCATTACACCGCTGTGGGTAAGCAGCATTTGAGCCTGCAGGGCCAGCTTGCTAGGCTAGGGAACCAGCTCTGCAGGGACCACATCTCAGGTCAGCCTTGGGTTCCCTGGCAAGAGCAGAACTCGTGTGCAGCCCTTGGGCCATGTGGGATTCACTGTGTGCTCGTGTGACCCACCACATGGGATAATGGATTTCTCAGTGTTGTGACAAATGTCCCCACGAAGAGTGACGTGTGGAGAGCTTCAGGGTGACCTCCCTTCCTTGTTAACTCCATTCTAGATGTGGATGAGTGCCAGGAGAAGAGTGATGAGGAGCTGGCTTGTGACCACTACTGCCACAACTACATTGGCGGGTACTACTGCTCCTGCAGGTTTGGCTACATCCTGCACTCCGACAACAGGACCTGCAAAGGTACCACAGGCACAGCCCAGACACAGGGATGGGCACACAGAGGGTCCCTGGGTAGACATCATACAGGCACAGACAAAACAGCCCTTTTTTTGCTGCCAGGAGGGATGAGGTGCTTCTTCCCCTACAAAGCAGTAGTCTGGGACTCCTTCTCCAGGAGCTGTGCTCCTCAGATAAGCTCTACAGATCTCCTCCAGTCAGAAGAATGAAAAGCTTTAGTCCCTACTCTGAAATTGCATCATGTAGATCAGCTGGGACTAGCTCTCAGCCCAGGGCTTCTCTGCCATGGGCACATTTGGAAGTTGGCTATGTGAGATTCTCCTTGCATGGACACATATTTGGGATCCATGTACCCATATTTGGAACCCATGGATCCACCCAACAGACCCCATACCACTGGGAGGATTCCTGAGTATGGTCAGGGCTGGGACATGACTCTCAGGGCCCTGATGGAGCCATGACTGTGTTTCAGTGGAGTGCAGTGACAACCTCTACACCCAGAGGAGCGGGGTGATCACCAGCGCCGACTTCCCCAGCCCCTACCCCAAGAGCTCAGACTGCCTGTACCGGATCGAGCTGGAGGAGGGCTTCTTCATCACCCTGAATTTTGAGGACAGCTTTGATGTGGAAGACCACCCTGAGGTGACCTGTCCATATGACCACATCAAGGTGAGCTGGGCTCTGCACTCTCCTCTCGTACCGCCTTTTGTGTCCCCAGTGCTCTGGTGATGGTATCAGAATCGCCCCAGTCTAAAGAGGGAGGATAGAATCAGCAGGAGCTTTGTGCTCTGTTCACCCTGTGTCTCTTACCACATCTGCTTGTGACCCTTCCAGCCAGCAGTGACCCTCTTTCTGTTCACACCCCCCCAGCACATGGTGCTTAAGCCCCACTCCAGCCCCATCCATTGGGCTCAGGGATCAAAGTGCCCCCTCAAATCACCCACTCATCTTTGCCTCGGCAGATCAAAGCAGGCCAAAAGGAGTTTGGACCTTTCTGTGGAGAAAAGTCCCCAGGACGCATTGAAACCCAAACCAACAGCGTGCAGATCCGCTTCCACAGTGACAACTCCGGAGAGAACAGGGGCTGGAAGTTGTCATACACAGCAATTGGTAACTCCTGCTGCTTTACTGTTTGCTGGGCTTGGGAATGGGAAGGACTTGATAAAGGTGGACAGCATGAATTTGGTAGTCCATGATCCTCTCTCCAGAAAGGATCTGTTCCAAAAATCACAATAGGAGAGGCATAAAACAGCATGAAGCCCTCCCTCCTAAGGATTCTTTCTTTCCCTACAACAACTGGGCTCTGAAACAAGACCATATTGCAGAGCAGAGCAATTTTGGGCAGGATAATTGCACAAGCTACTGTTATTAGCTCCCAGGTTTGTAATGCTCAAAGACAGAGAATTACAGACTGAAGGAAATATGTGGAGCCTCCATGCCTTCTAAAAGAGCCTGGCTGTGCCATGCCAGTGGAGACTAAGGGTAAAAGGGCAGAGATGCTCAAATTCTGCTGCATGGGCTGGGTGGAAGAGCTGGGAGTTTACACCTGCTCCATTTATTCCTCTGTTTAGCCTCATTTGCTTTCTATTCAAAGGAAACCCGTGCCCACTGGTGCAACCACCAATCAATGGGAAAATTGAGCCTTCTCAAGCCAAGTACACCTTCAAAGACCAGGTTGTCATCAGCTGCAACACTGGATACAAAGTGCTGAAGGTATGGGCTGACAACATGGAGCTGGGAGTGTGGGTAGGAAGAAGAGGATACTTCCTCTCAAAGCCATTGCATCTCTGGGAGAGTGAATGCAATCACACATAATCCTCATCTCCTTCCCAGGGGCAAGGAAACCACCTGCTCTGAGAGCCAACACCTTTCCTTTCCAAAGATGCAGAGGGAAAGAGGAGATAGCACTTCCCTGAGCCACCTTCTCAGCATCCCTCCTGAACCAGCAACCTCATAGAATGTCAGGCCTGGCACCCCTGCCAGAGAAAAAGTCATCAAAAACTCGGAGGCTGCTGCCAGGGCTCAGCCTGCCCCCCACCTCAGTGGGCACCGTCTCAGCAGCCCTGCAGAGGCCAGCCTCCACTGACTGGGAGGTCCTTGGGGACTTGGGGACAGCTTTAGTGAGTCAAGGGGGGCAGGACTTTGGCAGGCTCTCTCTGGGAAACAGCTGAGAACCACAGAGGGCATGGCTGACTCATGGGGTGGCTGTCTTCCTTCCAAGCCAGTAGCCCACTTTGACTTCCAGCACGGACTTGGGTATTTCTCTGATCTCCTCCCAGTCCCATCCTTCATGCAGAGCTGCCTCCTTACTCATCTCGTCATTTACAACAGGAATAAGTGACTCCAGTTCTTTGGCTTTCAGTGTGCCACAGAGTTGCTGGCAGCAAGAAAACTCCTCAAGTTTTTCATTACGATTTTATTGCAATTTTTAGCTAAAAAGGTCCTCTTCCAGGGGACACTAGCTATAACCTGACTAAATCACGAAGAAATCCCCTTTTTATTGAGAGATTTATTTCTTTGCCTTGAACACTGATAGGTTGTTTTTTTTTTGTTGGTACCTTCTGCACAGGATAATGTGGAAAGTGACTCCTTCCAGATCGAGTGTCTGAAGGATGGCACATGGAGTAACAAGATCCCTATCTGCAAAAGTAAGGACACCCTTCCCTACCCTGCCAATGTCCTTTTCCTGCTAAAATCATTTCATGCTAATGGGAGCTGCCCTGCCAGAGTGGAGTTCCTTACTCAGAGACACAAACCCAGCCAGAGAGGCTACGTAACCCTGCAAAGCTCTTCTGGCTTGTTCTTGGATAACATAACGGGGCTCAGGCCAAATGCCACAAGAAGGAGATCGGTGCTTTCATTTAGATTACTCATATAACTTGGTTTGTGAGCCACTTTGCTGTCTCCCTGTCAAGGAAAGAGCAAGCCCAGCTCTTGAGAACTGGCTCAGGTAAGCCTGGGTCAATGTGAGATAATCTAGTTCCTGGTCCAAGTTTCCTTCCAAATGGAGGCTATTAAAATGCAGGGCATTAGAGAGGTCCCAGGTACTAAACTGAGCACTGGTCAGGTAAGTGAGAGGGGAGAGAAAAATGTCCAAATATTTACAAACCTTAAAATGGGAGAAAAGGAGAGAAGAAAAGAAATGCCATTTGAAAGGACAGGTGATAATTTGAATCATCTCTTGTTTCATCTAACCCAGCTCTTCTCTCAGCTCAGGTGTGAGATATGTAGCTGATCACACCTTTTCCTTTTCCCCCAAACTTCTCAGAGCTCAGGGAGGCTCTCACTGCTGCTCAGGGGTGTAAGGCTGGCCCAGAGAGGAGAAAAGCAGCAAACATGGTGAGAGATTGTCCCAGGTCCTTCCAGGAGAGGCAGGAGGGGATGCTTTCTAGGGGGCTTGGGATCCAGGTTCTTCTCATTTGGGCAGACTCTTTTAATAGTTGTGCATCTTGGAAGAAAGAGTATTTCTGGAGTTCTAATTCATGTTTTCTCAGGCCAAATGGAAATTGGGAGGCTCTCAGACTTGCTAAATAGATTAATAACTGAAAGGGCTCCTTCAAAGCTGTGGGGTCAGTGATGCCTCTGCCCTACTGAGGATCTCCCCACTCCTCCATTCTCACTACCACAAATTCCCATTGATTTTATCCAGCTTGAACAATGATTGGAGAAAATTTTGCATTGTCTAAAACTTAGAACAAAATCTAGGTAAATATTGTTAACACCAAAAATTATTAATTTTTTGAGAAAATTGAAATTATTACCTGCATTGTTCCAGCTGGTCTAGAACTAAACCCTTCTTGTATAATATGACTCACTACACCAAATTTTTAAGACCTCTTTGAAAGCCAAGAAGCCCCTAAATGGGCAAAGACTCCCACCTCCCTGGGACGTCTGTGCGAGGCAGGGCACAAACAATGCAGAAAATAGAAAACTTCTCAGCAAAGTGGATAAAATCCAGCTCCATAGCCTGGAGATGCTAAACAGAAACCTGTGACAGCTTCTCCCAGCCACTGCCCCCAGGCTGCCCTGGCTGAGCAGAGTGAGGGGGTCCCCAGCAGGGCCGTGGCTCCGCTGGCATCCACGGCACCCTGGCACAGCTCACTGGGAGCTCATTAACGATTTCTGGTGTTTTGGGGGCTGGGTTTCCTGCATGTCTCTCTCTGCTCATCTACTAATTGGGCTTTCTCTCTCTGCTTTCCTCCTTCCCCTCTGCTTTCGGTGCAGCTGCAGATAGAGCCGACAACCAGACAGAGGGAAGAGCCGGCTCGGAGCAAGTGGCCGCGTGAGGCTGGCGCCGGCCGTGCCCCCCGACGGGCAGCCTGCCTCGATGCCCCTCTGATCTGTCCAGTACCCAGGGCAGGTTCCCTTTCCACTGGCCTGGCTGCCAAATCCATCTCTGTGGCTTGTCTAACCGGCATGGCACTCTTAACCCCCACGCCTGGTGCTTTCTTAACTGCGTCTCGAGAAGGGTGAAGGAAATGGGTGTCGAGCCCCCCTTTCCCACTGACACACTGCCCCAGGGGAAGGGGGCCCCCCTGGCCCCAGCACCGCTGCCTGGGCACCATGTGCTGCTGCTGCTGCTGGCTTCCAGCATTTCTGCATCCCTCCCTCTCCACTCGGACTCTGGGCTGCCCTGGCTCCCTTCCAAGGCAGCCATGCAAGGACGGTGGCACGGCCCCCGCTTGGTGGGTTGGTGGGCTGGATTCAGTCTCCCACTGTCCTTTCTCACTGGCCCAGCGTTGCAAATAAGAAACACTCCTTCCCCTCCTCCCTCCAAGAGTCCTGGTGCCTTTCAGACCCTCTGGACAAGGAGGCCTGGAGAATGGGTTGGCATCCCCAGCCCTTTCCTGCAGGCACCGAGCCCTGGCGCCAAGACAGGGGGATGGATGTTCTCCACTTCCCCTTTGCTCCCCACAGCTGGCCTGGAAGAGGTGAGGACAGACTGGCCTCAGGCTGGCTGCAGCTGAAGGAAGTCAGAGCCTGGTATCTGGCCCCATTCACATCCTCAGGAACCATGGGCACGCACGCTGTGCTCCCTGGGGCGTTGGAGGCTCCACTAGGAGAATGCTGGGATGTGGACCAGAGGCTGGGAGAGGAGGAGGAGGAGGAGGTGTGTGTTGGGGACATCAGTCCACTTCTGATCCTACAAAGACAGAGATGCTAAATGGCCCCTTTCCTGAGGCAAAACTCTAGAAAAGCTCACAGAAGGAATGCCCTCCCCTCACCCTTTCAGCACAACCTGGGACACTGGTGCAGCAACACCTCTCTGCAAGAGCCCATTCTCCAGGGATCAGGCCTGCCCAGGTCTGAGGGGCACACAGGGATGAGATGGGCTGTGCAGGCCAGTGAATCCTGCCCTGCAGCCACGAACAATCCCGGAGCAGAGATGGTCAGGAAGTCCCCTGACATTCATTTCCTCTTTCCTGCAAGGAAACAGGTATCTAGAGTCTCCACCCAGACTGCCTGCACCTACACACTCATCCCATCACTTGCTGTCTCTACAGACAGTGAAGGGGACCCTGGTGAATGGTGAGCTGCAGTATTTTGCCATAAATCAGGCTTTTTTCACCCAAGGAATTAGACAATTCTGACCAGTGGTACATATCCCTGGTTCCAGCTATTATGTCTATTGAATTGCCTCTTTGTTAGCCTGGATCAGTCAGGACTGCTGTCCAGCTTCCCCTGACATCCTGGAGCACATGGGAACCAACAGACCTCACATCATCCCTGATCCACAGGACCTGCTTACTGCAAAGTCACTGTTTCCCTACTCAACCCCTCATCCTAAGCATAGCAGAACCCAGCTGCACAGCCTTGCATTTCCTGGCAGGATCAGACCCTGGTTCCTGCCTTTCACTGGGGCAGGTCACCCAGGATGGGGTAGGGGAAGGCTGCACAGCATCACCTGAATGTGCTGTGAACTTCCCATGTGCTAGGGAGACTCAGCTCCAAGGAGGTGACTCCTGGATTTGGCAGATGAACCCTTCCACAGCCTGGGGTCCTCCCTGGAGTGTTTGGCAGAAACCTAATAGGGGGACAAGCCATGGGGAGAGGCTGTGCAGAGCACTCAGGGATCATGGGGGGAAAGGGAACCATGGATAGGCCATGGGGAAGGGCAATGCCACCCCAAAATTCTCCCTCCATCCCACCCTGAGGACTGGTAAAGCAGAGCCAACCCTGCTGATGTCTTGGGGGATGGAGCAGGTTTGGTCTCACCCACATATACTGGCCTCACCCCTGCCTGCAGAGCAGCCGAGGCACACTCAATGTCCTTCATCTCCTGCTGTCATAGGACAGCCAGGACCAAGGCTGATCTGTAAATGCTCATCAGCACTGTTTGGTGAGCAAGACCAGAGCAGGAAGCACAGGGCTGTGCTCTCAGCCATGCCTTGTGCACAGAGGAGCACCCCTGATGCACAGCTGGTAAATCACTGCCTGCCTCTCCCTGCACACTTCTACAATGCTAAGACACACTCTGGGACCATCTCACAACAGATCTCACCTGCCAGGACAGGCTTCTTCCCCTCCCACTGGTGCAGCAGAGAGATCTTAATCCCTCATGGAGGGGCTCCCAGGCCTGAGGTCTGCACCAGTGTGAGTGCTGGTCACACAGCCTGGGGTGGGACACGCTGCTGGTGTTCCATGGTGCCACTCATGTGCTCTGGCTGTGCAGGGTGGCCGTGGCAGGGTTTACAGAGCCAGGCTGCCCTGCCACAGCAGAGCCTCCTAACGTGCCATAGAGAAAAGGGACACAGCATCATCCGGCCCCTGGTCTGCCCCACGAGACCACCATCCCATGCCAGAGCCCAGCACCACGTGCCTGCTGGCTGGCTGAACACCCCAATATGCAGCACAGGGTTCAACCCCCCCTTCTGTGTTGGCTTTCAGTTGCTGACTGCAAAGCGCCGCCGGAGCTGGAGCACGGCTTTGTCACCTTCTCCACCAGGAACAACCTGACTACCTACCAAGCAGCCATCCAGTACCACTGCCAGCACCCCTACTACCACATGGCCCCCAACAGCACCGGTGAGCAGTGGGGCCAGGCCACGTCCCCACGGCACAGCGAGGGTGGGCACATGGGATGCACGTGGGGGAGCTTGGGATGGCAGCTCCAGGGTGTCCTGCAAACGGCAGGCTGTGGGTGTAGCCTACACATACCAAACCCTGTGTCTGCCCTGCCTGGACTGTCAGACTGGACAAATCCTGCTCCACAACGAGGTAGGATGGAATTGGCCCTGCCAGCTGCTTTGCCTGAGTGTTTCACAGCCTCTCCAGAGCAGTGTGGGTGTTTGTTTTGCATTCTGCCTTCTTAGCCTGCCATCTGCTCCCTGCAGACTACAAAATTGTCTGTGTCTCTTTGAAAGGAGCTGCTGCTGGAGAGAGCACCAGGTCCAGCAGCCTCTGGAAGGGCTATGCAAGGCTTCTCATCCCAAATGTTCAGCACAGACAAAGCTGAACAGACAGTGGTGGGATCATACCAGACTGAGTTTTTTCTGCCATCTCCCTTGATCCACAACCACAGAAAAACTATAAGTTGGTTTATCAAGCACCACAGTTCTCTGTACCCTCCAGACCCAGTTCTGGACAGTAGAAAGGGTGCATACACAGCCCAGCTTTTCTCCCTTCTCCTCCCTCAGCAAGCAAAGCCAAAAGAATTCCTCACATTCTTGTCTTCCTGCTTTTATCTCCCTGCATATGGTCCCAGCATCACATATGAATTAGAAGAATGGGCATTGGCAGCATTTTTACATGGAGGCAGCTGCCAGCAGAGGCTGAGGCTATAGCACAGCCCTCCAGACAGCTCCAGGCAATGAAACCAAGGATGGAGACATGTCCCTGCATGGGGGCAGGGCTACCATGGCCCCCCAGGAATGGAGCAAGGAGGGCATTAAAAGGAAGATCACTTGCTGCTTGAAAAAGGGTTCAAAGGGCCCTGACAGCTGGATGAGGTCTCCTCAGTGGAAAGGACAATCCCTCGTGCCAGGACCAGAGCCCAGCTAACGCTTTGCTCTCTTGCAGCCACCTACACGTGTGATGCCTTGGGGCAGTGGAGGAGTGAGGAGCTGGGGACCAAGCTGCCATCCTGCAGACCAGGTACTGTGCTGGGCTGGCTTCACCACAGCCAGGGGCGCAGAGCAGGGACACGCAGGGAGGGGATGCTGCCGTGCAGGAGCCCTGCTCCTGGTGACAGTGCCAGCTATACATACCCAAATGCCACAATGCATGGCCAGGGGGGTGGTGGGGACAGAGGCTTCCTGCTACCCCAGCAGGCCCAGATGGTCAGGGTGCAGTGGTGGCACTGGGGTCACAGCCATCCCAGCTGTCAGGGCTCCCCAAGCTCCCCACTCCAGTGCAGAAGGAAAGCAGCAGCCCACTGGCTGTGTTCAGCTGCCAGCATCCCTGGAGATGGTTTTAGCCAAGAGCAGAGCATTACCTCGCTGTCAGCTCCTGTTGGCAGTGTGTACACATCCAGTAGCAATTATCACCTCTTCAAGACTTCCAGAAAAAAACAAACTGCTTTACAGGGAAGGAAAAGTCCCAAGTCTTTGAGCAGTGGCAGAAATGTTTGCAGCCAGCAAGTTTCCAGGCCAGGCACCTGCTCAGGATTAAACAAAAGTCTCTGGGAGCTTCTGGCCATAGCCAAGCATGGGGCCAGGCTGGCTGGCGCATCAGGGGCCTGGAGGCAGCTTGGGGGTGGATTATAGTGGGATGTGCAAGGATGGCTCTCCAGAGAGGTGCAGGCATCCGGCTGCCATGCAGCAGCTGCAGCTGCAACCACTCCGGGGTTCGGACACTGGCCCAACCCCGTGGAGGGTATCTGCTCTCCAGCCATGCTGAGACACTGCAAGGCTAGAGGAAGGACTCCTAAGATTCCCTGCATCCCACAAAACTCCAAAACTCAAAAAAACATAAAACTCCAGGGCTGTGGCTGCTCTTGTTGTGGCAGCTGCTCTCTGCATCTCTGCTTGATGTTTCAGCCTGAACTAATTTGAGCTGGGAGCATACGGGGACAGCTTTGGGGCCATAGCTGCTTTCATGGGCCATTTCCAGGCCTTGTGATTAGTGACAGGAGTCAGAGAGACTTCAGGAAAATGGAAAATCCCAGAGAGAGGGTGACGCTCTCCTGAGATCGGCATCTGCCGGCAGCAGCTGGCCAGCTGCTCTTCAGATCTTCCCGTGTCTCACGCACCTCCCCATCAACAGGAACCTCTCTTCCAGGAACCTCTGCTCCATGCCTGCCTCTACCATTAGTGGGAGCATTTGCAGCCTGGTCAGCATTTTTGAGGTGTAATTTAATAGAATAAATATTTGGCTGGATGCACTTCCTCTAAAAGCATGTCCCTGGGACAGTCATCGGCTTCGGTGCAGCAGAGCAGCTGGGCTGGGACACAGGAATTTTTTTCCTGAGCATGTTTTTTATTCCTTTCAGCGCTGGGAATGACAGGGGTGTGGAGCACATGCAGAGACACATTCACCATGTTCCCGCCCTGCTGGAGTTACATTTTTCCTAGAGACAGACCCCAGCCTCAGCAAATCCACAGTAGCCGCTTCCAGTGCTCCTGCCCTAGTTCCAAGACTGATTCTTGCCCTGACCCCACCACCCTGAGGGGTCAGATCCTCTGTTTGTGAGGCTTTGCACCCTCCCCTCACAGCACAGGTGGCATTGAGGCAGAGTCCCAGCATTTCCATGGAGGATCTAGGGGTTTTTTGCAGACTGAGAGGTATGAGACCAGCACCTGAGTTTCTGTGATTCGGGACTCTTTCAGATGTAGGACAAGACCAAATAGGCTCCCACAACCTCCCAGTGACATGAGCATTCCCAAGCCACCTGAGAGTCCTGTTCCACAGTGCTGCCACAGGCAGGAATCAGCCCCACCACCAACAGCCATATCCCAAGGCTTAAATTCTCTAGGGACAGGATTGTCCCTCTCCACCCTGTGCAACCTCTCAGCCACCTTCAGCATCCTGGTTCTCTCATCTTCCTAACACTGTGCCTAGATAAAGCTTCTGGAAGCAAAGCAGGCACTATGTCAGGGCTCTTCAGGCTTTAATTCTGGGTCTGTTGAAGAGCTGAGCAGAGAGCTTCTGGTTTGGCTGCCAGAATTGTGGCTGATGAGACGCAGGAGTAAAGCCCATGGTGCTAGGCAACATCCCATGGCTAAGCCTTCTCCAGCCACAGCAGCTCCAGGAGGGCAAATGCCATGGCTGTGAGAACACAGACCTCGTGACAGGTCTCAGAGTGAGGGGTGAGACTGGGTTGATGTCAAGCTCCAGTCCTCCCACCATCATTCCCCTGGGTCTCTTGGCACACTGAGCAGGAGCCAGGCAAGTGCCTGAAAGGTCTGGGAAGGGCTGAGTGAGCTCACAGGTCACAGTGAGGCTGTAAGATTACTCATTTGGCCTTTCTGCTTCTGAAGTGGCGCGGATCTAGCTAAATCTCTCCAGAAACTGAAAATGGAAAAAAAAAAAAAAAAAAAACACCAACAAACCCCGGAAGAAAATGTTTGGTTTGAAGATAACCAGCCACATGGCCCTTTTCATTTGTTCCCTAGATAAATAAGGTGGAAGTAACCGTCCTGTCCCTTCTGTCCCCAGTGTGTGGCCGGCCAGCTCGTCCTCTGCCTGGCATCATCAAGCGCATCATCGGCGGGCGGAACGCGGAGCCCGGCTTCTTCCCCTGGCAGGCCCTGATTGTGGTGGAGGACATGTCCCGGGTGCCCAACGACAAATGGTTCGGCAGCGGGGCCCTGCTCTCAGAGTCCTGGGTGCTGACGGCCGCCCACGTGCTCCGGTCCCAGCGGCGGGACAAGACCGTCATCCCCGTCTCCAAGGAGCACGTCACCGTCTATCTGGCCCTTCACGATGTGAGGAACAAGATGGAAGCTGTCAACAGGACAGTGGAGAGGATCATCCTCCATGAGGAGTTTGACATCCAGAACTACAACCACGACATCGCGCTGGTCAAGCTGAAGGAGAAGGTGACCATGGGGAAGTACGTCATGCCTGTCTGCCTGCCCCAGTTTGAGCACGAGCTGGAGGGGCCTCACCCCAACACGCTGGGGCTGGTTGCCGGCTGGGGGATCTCCAACCCCAACATCACGGTGGACGAGATCATCAGCTCAGGCATGAGGACCCTGTCTGACATCCTGCAGTACGTCAAACTGCCCGTGGTGCTGCACGCCGAGTGCAAGACCAGCTACGAGTCGCGCTCAGGCAACTACAGCGTGACCGAGAACATGTTCTGCGCCGGCTACTACGAGGGGGGGAAGGACACTTGTCTGGGAGACAGCGGGGGAGCCTTCGTCATCCAGGACCCAGGAACGCGCAGGTGGGTGGCCCAAGGGCTGGTCTCATGGGGTGGCCCGGAGGAGTGCGGCAGCAAGCAGGTGTACGGCGTGTACACCAAGGTCTCAAACTACGTGGACTGGGTGGAGCAGAAAACAGGCTCCTCAGAGAGATGGACATTTCTGGACCCAGAGCTGGAGAGATGAGTGACTAAGCAGCCTGCTGCCACCGCGGCTCCCTTTCTTCTTGTTGTTATTGTTTAATGTGCTCCAGACTCGGGTCTTTCGCAAGCAATAGCCACGATGCTCCACGCATGCCAAGCCCCTGCCAGGTCATTTGTTTCGCTTGGTCCCGCATCCCTTCGCTTGCATTCTTAGGAAATGCTTGCTAGGGCGCTGGAAGGAGGGGGCGAAGGACAAGATCTCAGCTGGTGTCCTCTGCATGTGCTGCCCATCTGCAAACCTCACCCACACTCCAGGGAACTTCCCTCCAAGCCAGGAAAAAGGCACAGCAATTGAGGCAGCGTTTCCCTGACACCAAATCTTTGTGCTGTGTACAGGGAATTGTCCCCACCCCCAGGACTTTCTGGCCAGATCTCTCTGTCAGAAGATGCAACTACAGAACTTCAGAGCCTATGGACAGTGCAGGTAACCCATGTGGGCAGGGCTGCACCTCAGGTTCCGCATGCTGGTGAAGCCCTTTTCTGTGCAAGGAGTAGTGAGAGAGTCCTGGGAGTTTGCCATTATTTTTATATGCAAATAAACATCCTTTCCTGGTAGCATCTCAGGTGATGTCCACCTGGCCGCAAAGATGTGAGGATACATCCACATTTAGCCCTAAATTTCAGCCATGGCTGCCAAGACAGCACCAGCCCAAATGGGATACCTGTATCCCACCATGTGGGATGAGTGACCCACAGAGAAAATGAGGACACAGAGCAGGGTTTATACTCAACATCACCCTGACCTCCAGCCACAAAAATTTCTCCAGTCTTCTATCACTTGAAGCCCTCTCCAGTCCCACCCCGAGATTAGTTCTGTGGTTTCCAGCCACAGCAGACCTCACAAGGAAAGTGTTTTCCATTACAAGACAGCTTCACATCAGCTGTATCTAAGCAATACTTATTTTCAGCAGAATCATTTAATATAAAACACCCTTTCTTGGCTTTCATCTCTTTCTCAGGAGTCTGGTTAGTCCTGCATGACAGTTTATTCATTCTTGCAAGAACCTAGTCCCTTTTCACTGCTTTTGAGGCCACTTATTTAGCTGATTTACAGGTTATCAGTGGTGTTCAGTGTTTGTTCATGGCACTTGTGGCCTATTGCAGGTGTCCAAGTCCTTCTAGACTGACTCAAACCCACCTAACACACCAGAAGTATTCATATCTCCTCAGCTTCCCTCCATGGCCCATGCAGACAAGTTCCAACAAGGAACAAGGTCAGGTGAGCTGTCCTTCCTTCAGCAGGACCTTCTTCATTTGCCAGCATAGCTGTAAGCAACATGCAAAAACTGCCTGCTGTGCTCTCTGCGTGCCTGTAGCCTCCTTCAGGCCTCTCTTTCTCCTCCTCCTGCTGCTTTGGTTTTTCCATGAAAGGAAGAAGCCAACAGTGGATGAGACACTCTGACATTTTGCTATCATCCAAAAAGCCATTTGTAGAACTTAGAGAGGAGCAGAAGGCCTAAGGAAGGTTGAACTTGAAGACACACTATGAACTGTACTCTTGGCTATGTCATGTAACTGCAAGGTATTTTTTAATATATGTATTTCTTTTTTTATATATATTACATTCTGTAAAATACCTGATGTCAGGTAAAGATGGTTCTCTTAGTCTTCCTCCTGAGAACAAAATAAAACTTTTGTATGTACTGAGCTTGTGCCCTGAGGCTTTTATTGCAAGAGGAACATGGTTAAAGCTGGTTGCTGATGTCTGCCATGCACGCCTGCACTCCCAGGAGAATCTTCACACCATCCCTCACTCTGACGGCTGCTCAGCCTTGGCCTGTGCAGCTTCTTGGGCTGAGACAGACCCTGAGCAGCCCCTGAATACAAATCACAAAAAAGGGCGACAGAGGAGATCCTGCCTTCAATTATTTATAGCCTTAGCACATCACTGAAGATGGGAGTAGTGGCAGGAGCAGAGGGCAGCAACCTGTTTGCTGAGAATAGCAATTAAGTCTGAGTTCAACTGACATGAGGGGAAAAAATATGAGGTATGTGACTTTTGCTTTAAAAAGCGTGAAAAATCAGCCTATTCCCACTAGTTGTTGGACTGAGAGAGCATGTCCTCACAGCAGAGGACCTGCAGTGAGCTCAGATGTGAGCTGAGGCAGGGACAAAACTCTGCCGGACATCTCTGCATCAGAGACTGTGAGAATCTCCACTCTGGAGAGAGCTTAAAATAATGGGGGCTGTTTTGTCCCATGTGCCTGCATCCAGGGCTGGGAGCTGGGTTATTGATCCCTATTTTCCTATGGCACAGAACAGAAAAACAGCACCAGGCTCCTCTGTGTTGATGACAGGGAGGAGGGCGGTGGATCTGGCTGGCTCACGGGTCTGCTAACACATCCAGAGACATCACGGGAGTAAAGGAGAGGAGAGAGAAGAAGCAAAATAAAGGCCTGGTCCCCTGAGCATTAAACCATCATCTGAAGGATCTGAGCCTAGACAGCCCTGGGGCACATTATAAAATACTGCTGCCCTTTAACAGATCGCTGGCGAGCACAGACTCTCCCCCGCCTCCCGTCAATAGCTTTGCCGGGAAATCCCCGACCCAGGCCAGCCCTCGCCCCCCGCTCACCGAGCTGCGGCTGCCGGGTGCCAGCCCCGGCTGAGCCCCGGGCACCGCGGGGGCTGCAGCCCAGGAGAAAAGTGAGACCAACAATGGGCTTTGCATTTCTGGCACCTCACAACCTGCCCGAGTGGTGAGAGCTTCTCTCCAGGGAGACAGGCGTGGAGACAGCTATTTATCAGTCTGGCTGTGGTGAAAAGCCAGCAAAACATCCCTGGGTGAAGTTTTGCTGTCCCTGGCTGCGAGTGAGCTGAGAGTTGGCTGTAGCAGAGCCCAATGTGAAGCAGACTGGGGGGACGGACAGGACCTGCACAGAACCCACAAAGAGAACATCCTTTTCCTTCATCCCCTGGGATGGGCTCACTGCTCCTGTGACAGCTGTGGGCCTGGCCCGGCCAGGAGTGCTTGCTCTGAACCCCAAAAGTTCCAGGAGCCACAGAAAGCAGAATTTTGAAGGCAGTTTGCTAAGAAACTAGTAACAGGCACAACTGCATGTTGGAAAGGGGTATCCTGGAAAGGACCCCAAAAATGAGGCCGTGGCTGAGAAGGCCATTTATGCACAGGTGGCTCTGAGTACTAGGGAGGAGATGAAGGGGCTGCATGAGGGAGGGGACATGCTTGCACAGGATGAGGACACAGGCAGGCAAGAAGGCAGCAGCAAGGAGGGGACCAGGGGAAAAGGAGCAAATTCACACAAGGCCATGGATGGGGGAGCACAGTGGGTGTGTAAAAGACTTGCAGGGGAATAAGAGGTGAGTCTGCCCTGGTAAAAGAGCAGAGAGACTCAAGCAGGAACATAAGGACTCCTGCAGGGATGCAGTCCCCACCAGAGCTGGCATCTCAGGCAGAGACCAGGGAGTTCCCACTCAGCAGCTGGGGAGCTGGAGAGGCGGCAGACAGCCCAGACATGGTGACTGGGGCTGGGAAAACCTCAGCGTGGAAAGACCAGGGCTATGGACAATGGCAGCAAGAAACTTGGCCGTATCTTTGCTGGCGGGGAGGGACAGGCTGCTCCCAGCACGGGAGGGAAGGAAGCTGGTCCGGCCAGGATCAGCCTCATCCGAGCAGAGCCCCGGCAGAGCCGCAGCAAAGGCACTCAGCGGAGCCGGTCACACACACACCAACCCCGGAGCCTCGTGGGGTGGGCTTGGGGGGACCACGCTGCAGGGCAGCAGCTGGTCACAGAAACAGGAGGGACGGCATCCCCCATGCTGTCCCGTCCCAGTGCTGGCGGGTCGCTGGTCCCAGTGCTCCCAGAGCGGTGCCGGAGACCTGCAGCTCCATCTGCTGGCTCCGTGGCCAGGGCTGCTGAGGCTGCAGGGAGAAGGCGAAGAAGAGAACGCTTCTCTTCTCTTCTCTTCTCTTCTCTTCTCTTCTCTTCTCTTCTCTTCTCTTCTCTTCTCTTCTCTTCTCTTCTCTTCGGTGAAGAGAAGGGTTGGCTGGATAAAAGCAGGTTAGACAACTTAAGAAACCAAATCCACACGGCGTCTGGACCACACAGCATTTTCTTGTTATATTCTTTTTTTTTTTTTAAACCAATAACCTGCAGGTTGTCTAGCTGAGAATAAAGACGAACCTTACAGTAGCAGAAAAAGCAGCATAAAGGACCCTTCAAGATACAGCAGGGAGGACAGGACAGCACCTGGGAATCTGCACAGCCAGGGATTGATGCTGTGTGAGCCACACTGAGTTTGGTATTTTTTTTCCTTCGGCCTATCATTCTTCCACTAATTCAGCCACGAATCTTTGATATCATACCCATCTTCATTTGCAAAGCCATAAGTGTATGGATACAGCTTCTTCAGTGGTTCTGCAGGTCTTCTCCTTGTTGGACTAACTTGACAGACAGGCTTAACATCAATTTCAGTACCCAAAGTTGTTTGGGGGTTGTTCAATTCAGCTCTTGCTACTCAGGTAAGCAGCATGTCCCCTGGTGTCTGCGTTTCAGCTCCTCCACCACACAGGCAATGCATGAATCACAGAGAAAGCAGCAAAGAAGGGGGAGCCATGAAAGTGTCAGAAACCCCCACTTAGCCCCAGCGATCAGCAGCCTAGCACAGCAGGTGCCTGGGGCCACTGAAGCAGAGTAAGCCAGGAGTTAATAGAAGTCATTCACCAGCCAGGATCACTGGCCAGCCTCTCTGTGAGAGGTATCAAATGAAAACAAAAGCTATGATGAGAATGGTGCAAGCACACCAAGGGGTGCTGTCTCTTAAGTTTCTCCTAAACCCATCCAGGGCTCAGCAGCGAGCTGGTGACTGCATGCTTGTCACTGGCACCTCGCTTCCCCAGGGAATGGTTGCATCTCCTGATTCTCCTGAGGCCCCATGGAGATGGATTTCCCATGGCATCCCTGGTGTCCCCAGTGCACTCCCAGGTGACAGCCCTCACAATGCTCTCTCTCACAGAGCACACCATGCATCCCCCCCCCACCACTTGCTCACCCCAGGATCCCGGAGAAGACAGATCTTGGTAATCATGGTTGTGTTTGAGGCTTGTGCACAGGCTATTTCAAAAGTTTATTGAAGTTGCTGTGGTTTAAGCTGAGCCAGTATCTAAGTACAGCATAGCCTCTCACTCAGTCAAACCACCCTGCCCCAGCAGCATGGGGAGGAGAACTGGAAAAGGGTAAAGTCTGTGAGTTGAGATAAGAACAGTTCAATAATTGAAACAAAGTAAATATTAATAATAATAACAATCATGAACAGAGAGATAAAGAGAGAGAGACATAATAAAGAAAAGAGATACACACTGCAGTTGGTTACCACCCTCTGACCGAGGTCCAGCCCATCCCCCAGAGCAATCAGCCCATCCTGGCCAACTCCTCCAGTTTATCCACTGAGCAGGATGATCTGTGGTGTGCAAAGTCCCTTGGGCCAGTTCTGGTCAGCTGTGCTGGCCCTGCTCCCTCCCAGCTCCTTGTATACCTGCTCCACTGGCAGAGCACAGGAAACAGAGAAGTTTTTGACTTAGAGTAAGCACTACTTGCAACTACTAAAATATCAGTGTGCTATCAACATTATTAATCCCATATTAAATCCAAAGTACAGTGTAGTAACAGCTACAAAGAAGAAAATTATCTCCATCCCAGCTGAAATCAGCTGTGGCCACAGGACATGCTGTGCCCATGGGTAAGTTCTGCAGGAGCCCAGCTGCCCTGCAGGGAAGGTAAGAGTCAGGGTGCTAGGCTCCATGGGGACACCACGTTTCCTCCCAGCCTTATGACACCCACCAGCTCCCTAAAGCCCTGAAGGGTGAAGTAGCAGAAGGCAAGAGTCTGCATCTTCCCTTTGCCCAGACCCTGTAGCCCAATGTTTGCAATTTCTGCATAACCGGGGCATTGACTTTGGACTTGCTGCCATGGCCTTCTTGCACTTGCCAAGTTTGGCACCCTTTGCCCCCTCTGCAGGGTACCCAGACAGCTGGCCAAAGGCAGGGAAGACAGGGCATGTGCCTCCCTGGAAGCAGAGCACCGCTGAGAGATAAAAACAGCCCCAAGCTTCCCTCCAAGATGCCCACACACAGCTAGAAAAGGCTTTTGAGACATTAAAAAGCACAAATGCATTCCTGGGCTGAGGAGAAGGGGGTTGTTTTATTCTTGCAAGCAAGAAACCTCATCCTGTGCATGGGGTAGCTGGGAGGTTCATCCTCATACAGAATATGTCCCATAAGAATCCATCAGACCCATGAGTCTTCCAGAGATTGTTGGACAAGATGCCTGGATGAGGCATCCCAGTGTGATCCCATGCCACCAGGAGCTGGAGAGCTTGCTGAACCAAGAGCAAGGGCTGACCCTGGGTATCCAATTTTCCAGGCAGTTCACCACCTAGCCATCACCCCAGCTCATCTTTGTGATCCCCAGGTCCCTCTACATCTTGGTCAAATAAAACACAAGGAAGATGATCAGTGCCAAAACACAGACCAAAGAGCTGCCGAGGCAGCAGCACCATTTCCAGGAGGAGTTGCTGTTGGAGGGTGAGGGGTGGTGCGTCGAGGCTTCACGGGGTCTTAAGCCCTGGTGTTTCAGGGTCTGAGAGGTCCAGGATTTGTATGTATTCCAGGAAACCCATGCTGGGGCTGGCTGCAACTTAGTGTGATGGGTCCTGGCCTTGCCCACACCAATCAAGGGCTCGCAGTCATCTGATCCCAGGGACGACCATGACTCCGTGTGATGTGTTCCAGCCTCCCCCGCATTTGTTAAGGACTTCCACACATCTGATGTCCAGGCCAGCCATGGCTTGCTGCTGTGCATCCTGGCCTTGTTCTCATCTGCCAAGGGCTTCCAGGCATCCAGTGCCGGGGTCTTCTGTGACCTGTTGCAAATGCCAAGCTCGCAGGCCTCGCAGTGGGCACAGTCGTGTGGCCCCGTCACCAGTGCATCCACCACGACTTCCAGGAGGTCAGAGGGCTGGACAGGCTTCTTGTAGAAATACTGGAGGATCTTTATCACCAGGTTGTGCAGAATTGTCTCCACAGTGTCCAGGCTGAACTCAGGATCCTCCAGCTGGGAGTTAGGGCAGTGCCTGCATTTCTGGCGAAAGATCCGCATCCACACTGTGCCCCAGCCTTGGCAGTGGTACATGCGGAACAGGATGTGCACTTTGGCAGAAGACCACTTATGAAAGCACTGGGAGCACTGAAACCTGTCAGGGCAAAGAGGAGACCAGCTCATCCCAGGTGCCCCATGCTGAGCTAGAGGCTTTTGGCACAGTCAGTAGGGACGAGGGTTAACACAGACTATGGATTAACTCCACTCATGCAAGCTTTACACCAAACTGTCCTCCCCCTCTCAGCATGATGCCAGCCTGGGAAGTTCACCACAGATGTGAGCTGAGGGCTGGGCCTAGCATTAAAGACTTCAGAAGCCAGGCTGTCTTTTGGGATCCTGGCATCACTGCCAAAAGCAGAGGCCCTTGGGGTGGGAAACATCAGGTCCCTGTTTGGGACTCCAGCCCCTCACCCATGCTGGCTCATCACAGCTCAGCGGAAAGCCAGCATCAAGCCCAAGACTGGGTAAGACAATAACAGCAAAATAGAAGGAAGGTGTGGGTGGAGGGTGCAGGGCAGGTGAAGAGATATCTTGAGGAGCCAAAAGGTGTGCAGCCCACAGCTCTTCATCTTGCACAATCTGCATGGGGACTGGCAACCAAAGTCTCCATTTGCTGCCACCCAGGCAGGGTGTCTGAACAATGCCCAGAGTGGAAATGTTTGGGGGGCTTCTCATGAGCAATGCAGAGCCACAGCCTCCCTCTGCCCAAGGCTCTGCAGCCTGGTACAGATACAGGGGCTGCTGAGACATCACTCCATGTCCCAGTTCACAGTGGTTCTCCCTCTCCTTACCCTCTGAGTGCAAACCCAGAAGATTTGGTATAAGTCCCCCTACTTGCTGAAGGAGCTGTTTTCATCTTAACAATGACATGGAGAAATTCTGGCCAAATAGCAGCTGCCCTTTGGACCTGCTGAACTACTCTCACCTCCAAATATCATGTTTTCCAGTTGGCAATAACCCACCGAGATTCAAACAAAAATGAAGAAACCCTTCACAGCCTCACCCACCTCCAAACTCCCCCTTTTGCTGAAAAACCTGTTTCCTACAAGCAAATTTTGAAAAAGGAAAAGGTCCATATGGCAACCCATCGATCCTGATCCCCCTCCAACAGGGACTGTCCGCAGCCCCCTACCTCCCAAGAGCACGGCGCTGCACAAACTCCTTCCAGCCAGGCATGCAGGCCTGCACCTGCAGGGCATCATCCTCCAGAAGTGTCCACGGATCTGTTACGTGCATTTCTCCAATCTTCACTGCAAAAATGTCCTGCCACAGTCCCATAGTTCCACTTTGTCCTGGGTTGATAAGGAAGTGAGTTTTTCGGGAAGTTGTGGCCAAACCAATCAGTGCTCAGATTTGAATATTGGCACCTGGTGTGGCCACTGAAGACATGGATATGCCTGTGAGAACACAGGGGGTTAAAATGCACAGAACGGCCAGGGAAACTCTCTCTTGGTTCCGGTTGTGAAAGAGGTCAGACCTGCCCTGCCCAGCTGGGAGTTCTGGGCGGGCAGAGCCCGAGATTTTAACCCTTTTCTTGGACAATGAAATCTTTGAACATTAAACCCTCCCAGAAGAGAGACAGACATGAAATAGAAGGAAATGTGCAAGTGTGGTGAGGGCTGAGCAAGTGAAAGATGTCAGAAGGAGATAAGAATCCTAGGTGGGAGGAGATGATGGAATGGCCTTTGGCTGGACTCTTTTCTTGTATAGCCATGGACAGACCCATTTTTCCTGTGACACAGAGACTGCATTTAGGGGGAGGCAATGGCTTGGAGCCAAGAGAGTGCAGTGATGTTATGTGAAGCAGTGGCATGAACAGATACCGATGAGGAGGGAATGGTGATGCCCTCTGTCTTCAGTGAAGAAGAAGATCTCTGTTCTCTAGACTCCTCGGCCCCAGGGGGTGGATTTGGGGGGGACTGGTGTCCCAAAAGTGAGGGACTGTTGCTTTTTTGGACCTGGGCAAAGCATCCTTAAGAGAGGAACCCCAGAAGCAGATCTGGTCCATGCACAGTGGTGAGAGAACTGGACATGGAAGGAAGAGGTCAGAGGGCAGATGTTCTCTGGGCTGTGCCACGAATGACATGGAAACACAAGCGGTTTCAACTGTGTTTCCTGGGGAAGCCTATGGTACAAGAGGGACTCCTGTCTCCTTGATAAACTGAGAGTTGATTATCTGAGGGGTGGTGATGACCTGAAAGTTAACTATCTGAGGGGTGGTGACTGGATTGAGAATCTAAGGTTTTATCTCATTGTGCTGTGGTGGAAATTGGGGGGAGGAGAAGGAGTGTTTTGGAAGGTTTTCATTCTGAGTTCTGTGTGTGTTCCTTTTTATATATTGTAAATTAATAAAGGTTTTTCTGTTATTACTAAGCTGGAGCCTGCTTTGCTCTACTTCTGGTCACATCTCACAGCAGCCACTGGGAGAATATTTTTTCATGGGGGCACTGGAATTGCACCAGTGTCAAACCATGACACGCCTGAAGCTGGGGAAGGGGTAGCAACCAAGCTTGCAAGTCAAGCTTGCAGCTCCTGAATGCACATGTGCAACTGCCGTTTCCCTATACTTTTTGTACAATGTTTTTGTGCTTGGAGAGGGGAACCTTTGCTCCTGCATGAGCAGCAACCCCCCATCCCAATCTCTGGATCAACAGTCTCTGCTGCCACTGCACCAGGTCTTGGCCAGGTGAAATGTCCCTAAAGTAAGGACAAGGTGGGTTTCCTAAGTATATGTACATGAACCCCTGACCTTGGAAAGCCACAATGCTGCTCTGTCCTTAGGCAGAAAGACTGGAAACAAAACCCCCTGCCAGGCTGCCCACGCCCATCACATTCATGGCAGTGGGGAGAACTTAGAGAGATTTGCCCGGTTTAGGAATAATGAAAGTGAAACCCATTGAAAATGCAGGACTCAGCAGCTGATAAAGCTCCAGATAACCTTATCTATCTCAATAGCTGCCACCAACCATGGGCTATTTTTACCTATTTTCAGCCAATTTGAGCAAAAAAAGCCCTAACATGAAACTTCAGAGTGGAAAGTTGGGGAGGACAGCATAGTACATAAAAACAAAACAGATGAGGTGCTCTGAGCTGAGAGCACCCAGGCAAAGTATAAACAGCAGGGCTGGGGCCACCTGCAGCCCTTGCCTCCCAGCTCACCCCTCTTGGGGTGCACAGCTCCCCCAGAATTCCCATGGAGAGCAATGCAGGATGGAATGCAGGTTAGATAAGAAGCCAAATGATAACAGGTCTTGAGTTTGAGAAAGATCTTGATTAAGCAGGTTTAGCTGCAGGCAGTCCGTGTAGGTAAATCCCAGGAACCACAGCCTGGCAGGGAGGCTCTGACCTTTGCTGCTGGAAGAGAAAAGGCAGTAAGTCATGTGTACCAAGAGCCCTATAACACCTTCACAAGGTGCACTGCCTCTCCTGTGACAGTGGAGGCAGGAGACCTCAGGAGATCCCAGCACAGAGCAAACCTTCAGCTTCCACATTTTCCCTCTTTGCGGTTCCTTTTACTCCAATTACACCTTGATACCATCATCTGGAGCAGGACTGGAAGGACAGAAAGTGCTTGGAAGCAGAGAAGCCAAGACAAGGTCTTCAGGAGGCTTATGAAGAAAGTCCTAACCTATGGATAGACCCTGAGTCACCCCCTTGCCAAGACCCTTGTCATGGGTTCATTGGGTCCTGCTTGGGCTGGGGCAGTGAACTATAAGCAGGACAGTAAAGGAGGGATCATCCCACCAGTGTTTTCAATGTTCACAGAAGGGAGCTGGGGGACATCCCTGGCTCAGGGCTGGTGCATGAGGAGGAAGAGACAAAGCAGCAGATCTTTATGGCCTCCTCTCATTCCTTTCCCTGGGGCTTCCCTGCCTATAGGTTCATTATAGAAGACCCCTTCATGCATTCTGCCATAGAGGGGTCTTCGGGGCTGCAAATCTCATGGTGCAGAAGGTGGAAGCTAAGTAGGGAAAGAGTTGGCCTCACAGCTGGCACCATGGCCAAGCATGGCTTGGGGACCCAGCCAACAGCAGGTGACCAGGATGGAGCCCCCACCCTGCAGCATCTGTCTGTCCACTTGACCCCTTCTGTGCTATTGTCCAAGATTTACCCTGGCGGGGGGTTGAATGCAGGAAAGACCTAAAGGTTTTGACACCTTCCCTTTACATCTAGGGCATGCCTGTGTTAAACATCTCCAGCTATTCTGAGGAAGAGAAGTCCCCTGGGGACACAGCCCTAGCTCCTGACACTCTCATATTCACCAAACAAGGATCTGTGGTTTCAGCCCAGCTCTTCCTCCTCAAGGCTGCTGACACAAGGCATTCTCCCCACAGGACAGGCACCACTCCACACACTTCCCATCCCAGGGGCCAAAACCCTGCCCCTCAGGCACACTGCTCAGTGGGGATACAGTGGCATACCTGGTTCCAGGTGTGAGAACGGGTACCTGCCTTCAAAAGCTGGCTGTGATGGAAACCAGTGCCCTGTTACGTCATGGCAACACAACTCAAATCATGACCCACAGTGTGCTGAGCCCTCACAGTCATCTCTGAGGCAGCCGAGTGCTGGTCCCTCTATTAAAGCCTTTGAGTTGCTTTTACTAAGGGGACTTTCCTAGAACAGCCCACAGAGATGAAATTGCTTCGACATCCTGTTCCATTTCACACGCACCTCCTGGCTCTGCCCAAGCACCTTGCTGCTTATCAGTACCTGCCTGGAAACAAAAGCTTTTCCTACAGGATCTCCCCACGGCCTGGCCTCAGCAGGGAGTGGGGACAAGCTCTGTCCTGCACACAGCACAACCTCGTTGGGCTGGCAGCCCTTGCCAGGCTCAGACCCTGCCAAATCCTCTTCACTCCAGCATGCTGGTCATGGCTTCTCCGTGGGATGCGTGAAGGAAGCACACAAGGTGCAGCCTGGGTGGTAATTTCCCTGCTGTTTTTGCGCAGCACAAAATTATTTTTGACTTGAGCTCCCACCCCTGGGTGAGCCGCCTCTGTGTGCACAGGAATGTTTCCCAAAGTTCTTTCTCCTCCTCTTCATCTCTCACTATGTGTCAGCCTCCACATTCCCCACTCTTCCAGGCAAGGGACAAAGTGCCCACATTGCCCATGAGGACTTTCCTTGGCCCACATGCACTCCTTCCTGCTGGGACATTCATCCCTTCCTTTGGCATGGGTCACCTCATTCCCTGGTGGCTCCGTCCTGCCAGCAGTCCCTGGAAGGGGCAGAAAGGGGCATTCAGCCCCAGACCCCCTGCAGGACTGCAGAAAAGAACATCCCCTCAGCGGTGGGGATGCTGTGTCCATGGGCACATCAAGGTTTACAGGACAGATGAACTGACATCTAAGCAACAGGGCAGAACCCTAAACACTTCTCACTGCTTGCTTCATACTGAGGCTTTTTCTGTTCTGAAGACTTCCCTCATTTTTTCCTGTGTTGAACACACCCATTTCTTTTCCATCAGTCATTCTTTCAATAAATTTTTGCTCTTTTCTCCAGGTCATCGGAGAATTCAATTTCTAACCCCCACCCAAACAGCCCCTACACCCTCTTTCAATAGCATCTTGCTTTCATATGAGCCTGGATTCCCCAGAAAATCTCTGTTGGATGTGTCTGCTGCATGAGCTATTGATAACTGCTCATGGGAGAGAGCTTCTTGAGAATCCATCCACCCACAGTGGCAGAATTTCTCATTTCCTCATTTGCTTATGAGACTGTCATGTAAGGCAGCACAAAGATAGCATCACTCCTGCTTTCCCTGTGGCACCCAGTCTGTCACCCTAATGAAGAGAAAATGAGGATGGTTTGACACAAGTACCTGCTAAATCTGTGTTCTCAGCCCCAGCACTGCCCTGTCAGTGTTTGCCACTTGGTGGTAATTTGTTCCAGCAGTTTTCTGGGTACTGAGGTAGGTTGACTCATCTAGAATTTCCTGGATCCTCTTTTTTCTGCTTCCAAGAAGCAGATGGTGAATTGGACATCCATAATCTCCTGGGACATGACTCCATGACAGCTCTGTGTGCCTCCAACCTTGATGCATTTGACAATGAATGGTTGTCACCCCGTCATGGTGAAACCCACCAGCTCCAGGGACAAGCAGTGGCTACAGGTTCCCTTCCAAGCTGGACTGTCTGCACAGCTGAAGCCTTGGAGCAGAAGGGTCCACCTATCTAAGGTTGGATTTGAGGAAAGGAGGATCAGTTCCTCAGGAAATAGGGCTATGCCCAAGCGGGACTGTAGAGAGGGCACATTGCCCCATCCTTCTGGACTTCTGG